GTAGATGTTGGGCTCTGAAGTCAGGTAAATTTAGCTCAAATATCTGATCTTCTCTGAACTAGTTGTATCATCATGGTAAGTTTTATTAGTTCAAAGTCTTGGCTTACTCTTTACAAAATGGTAATGGAGTAATATGTTATAAAAATTAAATTAGACAATTCAGATAAAGCTTCTAGAACATAAGCCGAGAGTTCCTGGCTATCACTCCACAAGGATTTTTTTTCAATATATGGTCCATTAATAAAATAGTAAACAAAATTTACACTTAAGAAAATTACCTTTTGTTTGTTGTGATCATTTGCTTGTCCCCAGAGTAGTGTTCCTATTTACTCTTAGGTTCTCTGTCACTCATTCCAGTGCAACTCATGTCTAATCTGTGGTGATTTTAATATCTCTGGAAACATCCTGACCTGTCACTCTCATGAGCATTTTCCCCAAAGATTTTATCCTCCATCTTGTTTTAGTCAGATAGCCCACATAGTCATACCCAAGCCAATTCATGAACTGAATGCAAATCTTCAATAATCTTGATTTCAATATTCTGTTTTCTGCCCAGTATCTCAAATTTTCCATATTCCCCCTTCGAGTATCCCAAATTTATTCCTCCTAAATTTCCACCCTACTTATATTTACAACCCCTTAATCCTAAACCTGTCACTGACCTCTCATCTCCCTCTTCACCTCTATCATGACCTTGCTCGTCATCTCAACATGGCAAAAATTCAAGATTTTGTCATTTTATTCATGCCCTTTGTGTGCCGCCTTCTCTTTTCACAAGACCCTAAACATAACGCATTCCAATTTTTCCCTTTACTCCTATATCCATAAACATGATGTTTATCTACAAATATTAATATCTATTCAAAGGATTTTGCTTGAAATCTTAGCCCAAGAAACCCAAAAGAGGACCATTTGCCTGGTCCATTTACTTCCCATTGTCTAAATTTCTAATTTCTACCCTCGACTTTCTTCCCAAACTTTCTCAAACATCCTCACTCTTGCTTTATTTTTTACTGAGGAATTAGGAACAAACGTAAGAAGTCATCCACTATCTGATCCTTCCTCTCTGTGCTCCTTTCTAAAGCCCACTCTTACAATTTTGAAAGAAAAAAAAAATCTCTACTAACAAAAAAATACTAACAAAATTGCTCCACCAATACTCCTTCCTTTCCTTGAATCATTGCTTCCTTTTGCTACATAATTCTTGTCCACATGCAAATATGCTATTACTTGTCTAGTATCAGAAAATTACATATAATAACCTCTTTGTGTTCCCATTCCACCTACAGTTATACTCCCTTTTTCTGCTCTCCTCCATAACAAAATTCTTCTAATGGCCTTCCTGTCTCCAGTTCTCTCTTACACCCACTCTATTCAGGCTTCTACCCCTACCATTCCATAATAACTACTCTTATGAAGAACATTAGGTTACACCCAGATTCAATTTTTTGTCTTCTTTTAAATTGACTTACCAGCTGATTTGACATAATAGATTACTCTAGATTCCTTAAATTACTTTCTTCAGTTTTCTTATAGTTCAAAAACTCTCCTAATTGACCTGCCAACAAATTGGCTGCTCTTTCTCAGTATTCTCTGTTGGTTCCTCTTCATCTCTCAGATGTCACACATTGAAAATTCCCAAGACAAAGGCTTTGTTCCTAAATTTATACTCATTACCTAAGTAAGACCTCTGAATGTGTGGCTCTATATACTACATGCCAACAGTGCCTGGTGTCACATCCACAGGCCAACTGTCTGAACAAACCCACCTGAATATCTAATAAATGTCTCGATCTAATTGAATTTCAAATAAAAAGCTCACAATTGAATCTCTAATATCATGTATCAAATTCATTCTATTTACAGTCTTTCCTATAATTAATAGCAATTCTACTCAGTAAGATTAAAAACCCTGATGTCATCCTTCAATGTTGACTTTCTTTCGTACTCCACAGATAATCTTTCAGCAAATCTTAAAACATATTCATAATCTGACCTCCTTTCACTTTCTTAAGTACCATCCTTCTATCTAAGCCTCCATCATCTTCTTTCCTATGTTCAAGACTTTGTCAGAACCTCTTGTTAGATCCAACTAAAATGGATACACACAAAATGACCACTGGCCACTCTGGGCACCAGATTCATCTAAAAGATTGTACTAAAGGTAGAACTTATCAGAAGCCATCATTTTTCTTCCATGGGAGCCCTTGCAGTTGGAATGCAGCAGAACACATGGTTACCATGTTTTTAATAGCTGCTCCTGTGCTAGTTCAGGTGTGAAAAAGTAGTAATCATACTGGGTAGGTTGAGAACCTCATGCTCCAAAACAGAAAAAAAAATGTCTTATAACTCTACCATTATTGCTTCTAGGATTCCATGAGGGACAAGTCAATTATAGGAATAATCTAACTCAGGGAAACCTAAAGATTTTTACCAGTGTCTCTAGTTCGATGATACAGTTTACCAACTGGGATCATTTTTGCCATTAGAAATATTGCCAAGGGACATGATTGTCTTTTCAATTTTATCAGGTTTATGGGGGAATAATTCTAGAAAGTTTCCCAAAGCCCAAATTCTCATACAGAAGATGGAAGCGTTCTGTTTACTCTAGACCCACATTAATTTCCACAATAACATTCTACTGATATCTTTGTGTCTACTTTTCCTCTGTTCAATCTGCTCCCGATGGAGCACCCCTGTTGATTCTGTTAAAATATAGATCAAATCACATGACTCCTCTTAAAACCCTTCAGTGGCTCCCTGTGATTCCCAAGTGTTATTAAAATATAAAGCCCCACAGGACATGGATTTGAACCATCTCTTTGAAATTTTCCAATAGTATCCTCTTCCTTGTTCATTCTGCTCCCACCACGTTAACTTTCTTACTGTTCCTACATCTTCCAAGCATGCATCTGACATTGGAATATTTAATTATACCCCTCCGATATACACACATACTTAATTTCCTTCAATGCTGCTCAAATGAGACCTTCCCAATGCAGACATTTACTTATTTTTGAGGTGCAGCTGATGGAACCCAGGGCCTCATGCATGCTAGGCAAGCACCCTACCACTAAGCTGCATTCTGTAACCCCTAAGTCGAAAGGGATTTTCATTCTTGGTTTTCCTTATTTCCCTTAATAACATTTAATATCTTTGTGTATGCATATTTTTATTATTTATTGTCTGTTCTTCCCACATAAGACATGCTTCATAAAGGCAGGATTTTGTAAATTTATTCACTGCTTATCTCCAGGAGTACCAGATATGCAGAAAGTACTCAATAAATATTTATTGAGTGAATTTATTGGATTTAAGGCTTATTCAAATTTAAATATAATTTATCACAAGCTATCTCTCATTTGAATTCCATTTTAGTGTGACTTACCTTACTACTTACTCATCTTAATAATCATAATTTTCTAAAATTTTGTTAGTAATATAACTGGTGATTTTTCTGAATATTTTAAGAAAGTATGAGTGCAATTTAAAATGAAAGAATAAGGAGTCATAAAAATGAAAGAATAAGAATTATTTCCCTAAGCCAGTTATAAATTTAAAAGGATCTATTTCCTCATTGTAAAATGCTTATGATTTTTTAGAAGCCAGAAGGATTCAACAAATGTGGGTTGTGTTGTTGGCTCAAAGTTGATCTTACTCTTTAGCCTAGAAATAAACATATCAACATCTAAATGATCTTCCTACAAATAATTTGACAACTCTAACTAGTTTATGAGACATTAAATTTTTTTCTAATTATGTAATAAATCATGGGGATGATATTTTCATTTTCAAGAATGGACAGACACTAATGTTTTCTTAATTGTCACTGATGTCTTTAGCCTAATGATTTCATTGCTATTTATTCAATCACTTGTAGTTAGCCATCTGTTAATATGTAATCTGATACTGCCTCCTCACTAGTAGAAATATTCTTAGGGAGCATAGACTAAATTAAAATCTATTGAAGTCAAACAATTTTACAAATCCAGTTTGAAATTACACTTGGTCAAATGCAGATTAAAAAAAAGGTTGATTTGAGTTTTATTCGTAAACTTGTCTCAACAAAGTAATTTAAAAATATTTAATGGAACTTTATCAAAGAAAACTATATTTAAAAAGCAGATATTTAAACATATTGCCCATGTCAGAGAAACGTCAAGGAGAGATTTATTAGCCTGAGAATCTGTTCTTAACTAATATAGATAATCTAAATGTCTCTACTAATTAATGAATATTAACTAGTTAGCTAGAATTTATTAAGTCCCTGTTGTATACTGTTTTTCTACCTTTTGGAAAATAAAAAGGTTCCATATATAATTTAATCCTGTCTTTGAGATTCTTCAATCAAAATGGTAAATGAATAAAATCCTAGAGAATACTCAGAAATATGCATTTTGTGTCTAACACATGCCAGTATATTTCTAGATTCTTACTATATAAATTAAATAGAATAACTGGAAACATCAAAATACCTCCAATTAAGAAATATTATACATTTCTCTAGAAAATGCAGAGAAAAAAAGATCAAATAATGGCTAAGATAAAAATAACTTAAAATATTTAGAAGATATGAATAGTGGAGAAATAATTATACTTGAAATACCTATTAAATTGGCTTTTTTGATTGACAGACAAAATAGCCTTAGCACTTAAATTTCCTAAGATGCTTACTTATTAAGGCTACTTTGAAATTTTTTCTCTGATCTTTCTAGCACTTTACAAAGACTAGCTCAACCGTGTCAGAAAAGCAAATCTTTCATAGGAATGAACAAATTCTCACGTAACACCTCAGGTAGGTGTATTAAGCTAGGGACTCTGTATCTAGGACTTGGGGTCTCTGCCCAGTTTTCCCATCTGTGCAATCCTGATGACATTTCTTTCATTAAAAAATACATAAATTACTGCCTGCAAAATGCCATCATACTTAATATCATAGTCATGGTTATCAAATGTCATTCCAATTTGTAAGTGATACAAACATAGATGTCTCATTTTACCTCATCTTGCTGTGAGTTTAGCAGCTGCAATTTCATATGCTTCATATAGGCCATGGTAATTGGCATGTTGTAGTCAATCATGCTGGTCACCAAAGTAGGAGGCTTTCCATTATCTGCAAAGAAACATTTTTAATGGGTAATGAAAGTGATAGTACATTCTACCTGTAACTTCAGAATGATCCAATTTGTCCAAATTAAAATAGGCTTCTAAATACCCAGAGTTTAAAAGCATTAGTAGCATTGTAGATAGATTCCAGAAAAATAAGTGGTAAGGTTTCACAAAGGTGTATTGACACAAATTAACAATGTGGATAAATCGACTATTTTTCACTATAGGGGAGATTTTAAGTATCCCGAGTAATAATGAATAAAGTTATTATAGTGATAAAACACAATTATTTGAATTTTTGCTTTGTTACATAATTACTTCCTATGTCTATTTCTAAGTGCCAAAGGAAATTTGTTTTCTTTCTTTTTCCTTCTTCTTTTCATTTTTTGACCAGGTTACTTATCTTCCTACACCTGGGGAAAAACTACCTTAAATGTAATGTATTTCTGAGATTATTTTAATTAGTGAGAGAAATTCATATTTAAGAAAATGATATAGATAATCTAATAAAAAATAAATCACAATTTTATGTAAAATTTTGTTGAAGGAAGTCCATATTAATCATAATTTATCAAAATAAGGAATTGATAGACTTAAAAGGACATTGATAGAATAAATTTCCTTGCTGAAAATATCTAAAATACCATGGAATAATATGATCAATGAAAATTAAAACCTTACTATAGGGAAAAATGTTATTTTCTACCGTCGAAATTGTCTTTTAAGAATGGGCACTGAATTACTTTCTAAGTGGATATTCAAAATTCACTGCCTCCTACTTGAATAAATGAGATGATCTGACTTGTTGAACTGTTTCAGTCTCCCTCGTTTTTATGAAATTGTGAGATATAAATTGCCATTATGAATAAAATTACTTTAAATCTCACTATTTGACACTGCGGCTACCTTTATGATCTGTTCCATCTGGGTTTAAATGCATTCTTTTCTGGCACTCTGAGCAGCTCATTAGAAATCGTGTCACCGCTTCTCTTGGTAGGAAGGCATAGCTCTCTGAAATCTGAAATGATTCACAAAATATAGGTGTTACTATATAAGACGACAGCGCATGATTTAACAGAAAAGATCATTGTATTTCCAAATAAGACGCATTATTCCATAATGGCAGGAAGCACAGTGAAAGCATGCACTGCATACCATGCATCATTTCAAGAAATATCTATCCAACTTGATTAGACCTCTCTTCATAGGAGCCAAATAGTGTCACGTGAAGAATAAAAAAAATCCACCACATCTGGATAGATGTGTATTTTTTTTTCATTTCTTTTAGAGAAAATCATCACAGTATACAGATATTCAGTGACTTTTCCCAATTATTAAAAATTGCCAACATTGTTTTTTAAACTTACTGCTAGCAATATGAAAATTTTATCCAATTTCACATATATATTTTAAAATTTAGCCCCAAGTCGAAGCAGTAAATTTTGAATTCTGCATAATGAGCTTCTCTTCATTGTAGCTTTGAAAAATATTTTAAGTGAGAATTAAAGGCACATTCAAAGAGAACTCGTATATATATTACTGCAGCGAATCATCCCTTCCACAGAAAATGACACACCTGGAAATGCACTCAGGCCACTATCTCATTTATTTCACATTGATTTTCACTTTGATAGCTTACATTGATTTTCAGAGAAAGCTTTGCCTCTGTCCATACAAAACTTTTTTTTTTTTTTAAGAACCATGATCTGGAATCAAGTTAGAGATCAATACTCCTGTTTCAATAATTTTGTAAATATTAACTTTACAACAAAGTATTTATCTCATCAAAGAAAATAATACTTAAAGTAAAATGGATAGATTGTTAAATATCTCTAAACATTTAACAATCTATCCATTTTAAATTTAAATCTGGCACTGACTCATACAGTGCTGCTGAGGTTCTTGGATATTTTTGTTTAAGTGAAGAAATGTCCTCAGAAAGTAAATGCAACAAATCATTGGGAATGTACTTCTAAAAAGTCCACTGACAAATACTGTAATTGAAAGGAAGAGGAGCATTCTTTTCGACAATCAAGATCCTGTGTTTCTGAAAGAAACAGTATTTTAAAAAGCACTAAATTATAAAGCCAAATCCTGGAAGATCTCAAGTGCCACTCAAATTTGCCTCAGAACAGCACAATTAGGGTAAAAATGTCAAGTATCCCAAAGAAACTGAAGAAAAATCCACCAGAGATAATCAACCATAGATAAATCATAGATAGGATAATTTGCAAAGTTCATCTTGAAAATTCAATTATTTATAATACCTAAAATTTTCTTGCATTTACTTTTTTTTAATATAAGAATTGCTATTACAACTTGGATCTGGCTATACTGAGTGATACAAACTTTTAAAAAATTGAAAAAATACTCAATTATCAAAACCATTTAAAAACAAATAGTTGCATTGCTATAGCTATATTTTTTTTCTCAAACTGTATTTCTCACAATGTTATTGTGCAAGTTCATCTCCTTCACTCAAGACACAAAGCATTTCAAGTTAAGAGAAAAATTTAGAATAGAGAAAAAACTCTAAAACAGGGAAATTTGTCTCATGCCTGCCTTCTCCAGCCCAAACATTCTTCTCTAATTGCAACTGTTTTATTTCTGACTATTTTCAATAGGAAGCCCCTCAAACTTTAATCACCTCGTATATAAATATGCAAGTCCCCAGTTCCAAAAATGATAAGAGAATCAACCATTTTCAAAATTAGGATTCTCATTAACTATATGACACTAGTTCTTGATTTGGCTGTGTTTCATTTTCATTTTAGAAGAAAATACTAAACAATTTATGTGTAGTTAAGAATTCCATTATTTGAGTGCTTATGGATTTTTATCATTTAATCCTCACAACACAGCCCTGCCTGAAGACATTACCATCATCACTATTATGGTACGTGCTTGACAGATGAGAAAACTGAGCTTCAAGAGGCTTTGTGTATTTTTGCCAATCAAGTGCAAAACAGAACTCACATCTGATAGCTTGGTTTCAGAGACTATCCCTTGAACCTATCTCTAGGCTTTATAACAGCTCCTGGTAATAATTATATTTTAAAAAAAAATAGAGATGATTTCATCCTTAAAGAGTTAAGATATTAACCTTACAATATAAGTTAATTATAATTATTCTAAAATGTTTATAACATTCCCTGGTATGAAGACCTTTAAAAGTATAGAAGGCACCATCCTGTTTGAGGTGATCCTTCTGAATAGGAGGGGCAGCCAAACACTCTCTGCCTTCTCTCAGGTTACAAGTTCCACAAGAAACTTGTCAGACCAACAGTAACATTTCAGAGCTCCACCTGGAAGAAATTAACAGGCCATCTGTCCCGTTCCAGAACAGGCAGAAGAACTAGGGCTAAAATGATGTCTTAGTGTCTATTATAATATGAGCAAGAAACTAAATGCACAGGATTTCCACTTTCCATGGAATGTATGGCAGGGATGTAAATAGCTATTTCTAAAGGAACAAGATTTCTTATTGTTAAGAGAAATTTGCCAGCAGAGAAGCCAGCCTTGTCCTAATATTTGAAGCTAATTCAGGAGCTGAAATAAAGACATTCCATTACATTGGTGAAACATGAGTAGTATCAATCGATTTATAAAGCAATCAAACAAAACTAAGCTAACCAAAATACTTAGCAAACAAAATCACACCATTTTGACCTCAGTGCACTATGTGAAGTGGGGTGGGGGCAGCGAGATCAATGTTTCTAAAGAGCATGCCTTTGAGTCAGGCACAGTGGTTCACACCTGCAATTTAAGTGACTCAGGAGGCTGCGGTAGGAGGATAGCAAGTTTGAGGCCAGTATCAGCAACTTAGCAAGACCCTATCTCAAAAAAAAAAAAAAAAAAAGACTTAGGATTTATCTCAGTGATAAAGTGTCCTAGGTTTAATATTCAGTACCAAAAATACATTAAAGAAATGAGTATCATTCATTTGAAAAAGTCACTTGATGCTTTGGTAGAGTGTGTTCCTTTTCAGATACTGAGCTTTACAGCAACAACAAAAAATTGAACATAAAATCATTACATCAATAGTTTTTCATCACTCTACCTTTGTTTTTAAAATTAACATAGATAATAAAAATAATACCTTTATTTCATTGGAATAAAACATGAAAATCATAGCTTTTGTCAAATATCACATACTACACTTACAGAAGAATTTGCCTTTGGGAATCAAACTTCTGAAATTTTCTCCTGTGAAATCCTAGTCTTTATGGATAAAGAATAAATTACAAACAGTCACCCAGTAAAACTTGCTTATCTTCATTTGAGAAAACACAAACCATCTACAGCGTTGATAACAGGATAACACAGTTATAGAAAATTTTATATTTTAAAAATGAATAAAATTAAAAATAGAACCAAAAAAAGCCTATCAATCAAAATGTTATTAAAGGACCTATATTTGCTGACTCATGAATCATGGTACATCATGGTCCAGAAAAAAACTCTATCTGAAATGGTAAAACCAATACTTTAGGCAACATCTCCAGTTTAAGGGTCCCGCTCCCTTTATCTGTTGTACATATTGTGCATCTTTGCAAACATTTCAAGAAAGGTATTTAGGGCCTCCCAGAGGCTTGGGAGGCTGAGGCAGGAGTATTGCAAATTCAAAGCCAGACTCAGCATTTTAGGGAGGCCCTACACAACTCAGCGAGATTCTGTCTCTAAATTAAAAAATAAAAAAAGGGCTGAGGATGGAGCTCAGTGGTTAAGTGCTCCTGGGGTCAATCTTCAGTACAAAAAAGAAAGAAAAAAGAAAGGGATCTAGGGTTTAAACAAACAAAAGCTCATAACATTGTCCCAGAGTGGAATTTGAAATGATAACGGATACACAGCCATGGCTTTGGTATTTTTCTAGACATGTTACAAAATTGAAACACCCAGCCAATGACTTGTGATTTTACTTATGTGGGTTGTTTTTAACAATTCCATGCATGCAAAAAGGTGAGCAGAGTACTTCTACAGAGGAAATAATTAATTTACCAAGTTGTGTAGGAACAATCTTGTTCAACTAAACATTTATTCATTCAACACCCGAATGCATAGGTTCTACAATCGTCCCTCAATACTGCTGGATATGCTTCTAAGCACTGATGTGCCTGGATATATCAAATCATTGTAATCACATATTGGTAATTATTAGACTAGTTTAAGTTGAAGAAGAAATTCTGAAAACTACTTTGCTCAGGACTCAAAAATTCTTAGGTGAAAAGTTCATAAATAACAATAACTAATTAGACAAAAAATCCATCCAATTTGCATTCACTATGTTCCTCAAAACTTGCTTCAGAACTTTTTCAGGAAGAGTTAATGCCTATCTGATCTCTAAGTGTATGCTGAAGGCCAACAGAATTCCTGTGCTTTAATATTTCTAATACCAAAATCAGAGTGCTGCTGGATTTGCCTATCAACCCCAAACTCGCCACTCCTATGCTGGTGGAGATGCTCACATTTTGACTGGGTTCTATTGATACTACAGCACTAGCCTATTTTGCTCCTACCCTGGTAGGAGCATTACTGCAGAATGTTATTTTGAGTTCATTCAGCTGTCGATTTCTTCTTTCCCTTACTTTTTCTCTAGATTGTTTTCCTTGTTCAATCTTTCTACTCATTCGTCCATATTACAGTCAGGAATACCTAGAGTTGATTTTTACATCAAATTAAGATGGCTAGATAAAACATAAGACACCCAATTAAATTTGAAACTCCAAATAATCATATAATATTTGCGTCAAGTTATATTAAAAAAATCATTGTGTTTTTTTTTCTGAAATTCAACTATAACTGACATCCTATATTGCGTTTGTTAAATTTGGTCACCTTAATGAGTATATTTATCTACGATGAAGGACAATACAAGTTTGTGTCTAAAGTTAATTTTAAATTTGGAACTGTTAGGTCAGGAACATCTCAGAGTTTGACAAGAGAAGAAAGGAGAGCTAGGAAAATGGTAGTAATTTTTGGACAGTGCAGACAATTTGAGATCTCAGTGCCTGTCTCAAG